AAAGCGTATTGCTTTAGATTTATCCATGGAAGTGCTTTCCCCATGTCTCTCAAGTTCAATGAAATCTTCTGATAAAAATTCATAATCCTCAAGGCAACCATCTTCAATACTTTCTGTCCACATACTATCATCTGGGATTTCTTTTATTTTCTATCTGGCCTTGAGACTGTGGGTGGTGTGGCCTACCATGAACCATGCAAACTTCAAATTCTTTGCAAAGTTTTTGCACTACCTCTCCAATGAATTCACCACCATTATCTGACTGAATTACAGTAGGTGACCCTTCCTTGATGAACAAGGCCTTCAGAACGGCATACACTTCTTCTGCAGACTTTGTTTTTAACGGGAACAGCCAACAAAACTTCGAGAAACAGCACTTGACTGTTAGAATGTAACGGTAGCTCCAACAATTATTCTGCATAAAACTACGGTGCTTCTTTGGGGCCATGTCAATAAGGTCACACTGTAGTCTGGAATGGGGGCGAAAAGATCTAATGGGGACAGGAGGGGGAAGCACTCGCATTGGCAAGGGGTTGTTGACCTGACATGTTGAGCATCGAGCCAAGAAGGCCCTAATAAGGTTGAAAATACCCTTAAATACATATTTTTGATTGAATAGCCTACTCAAGGCATTCACCCCTCCAGGGAGGCAAGTATCCTCTCCAAGGACACCTTTAATGTAGTGTAAACTGCTTAATACACCATCTACAGCCTCTCTGTAGAGAAGTTGCTTTGTAGTCTTAAGCTCTCCTTGAACATAACTGTTGACCAAAACAACAAGGATGCCATTTTTGTCACGGACAATCTTACCTTCTTGGTCAAGTTTTAGTGTGTAGACTGGTCTTTTCAGGCTACGTCGTTCAAAAAATCGTCTTTTATACTGATTAAAGAAAGCATTTAAGTTTTCATTCTTCTCTGAAGAAATACCATCTTTTGGGAAAGATGTATATCCTGGAGTACAATACAAAACTGTATCTGCCAGTTTTTCATAAAAATATTTCTGGCATCCATTGAAGCTACAATCTGCTAAATAAAATATAGTATTTGTGAATAAGTAATAGTTATAGAAGATTGCTACCTTTAACATACATTTATTGATTAACCCTTTACACCCTAACATCATTATGCATATTCTCCATACTGTTCTCTATACATTTCCTGAAGCCCTGACAAAGAGAGTTTTTATAAAAATCAAGAGATTTATAAATTGTTGGTCATTTCCTTTATTCTCATGAACTCAATGTTTGATTCAGGGGAGATATTGTAAGGAGAAATTAGAAGCTGGTCACTTTTAGGGGTTAAAGGGTTAAGATTTTTTCTTCCATAACGGGTAAAACAGATCCTATTTAATGGTTCAGAGATGACCTTTCTACAAGTAACTGGAATTGAGGCAATGGAAGATATTACTGCATGCTCAGTATATTGTTGCACAAAAGTATTTAAAAGTTTCCTGTTTCTGAATTTCAGTAGTGGATAACTGTTGTATTCCAGCACTGTTATTTTCCAGCCCCTCTCAGCTGTTCTCAGTTTCTCAGCAGGAGTTAACTATTGTATTCCAGCACTGTTAATTTCCAGCCCCACACAGCTGTTCTCAGTTTATCAGCAGGATTTACTGTTGTATTCCAGCACTGTTAATTTCCAGCTCCACACAGCTGTTCTGAGATTACTAGCAAGGAATAAATATTCTTTTCCAGTCCTTACTTGTATTTTCAGTTGCATACTATTCTTCCCACATTTCTTAATAAATGAACCTATATTTAGTGGACACTTCTATATCACAGACACTGGAGAAGGTTCTCAGAGAAGTTACCTTTGATACTTTTATAACTATAAAAGTAATAGCTTTCACTGCAATTTAAAGTGATTTAATTTTTGAAATACAGTTAACTTCTCCACTAACCCCACAACACCTGTGCAAAGCATGTCAATTACAAATAACAAATATGGAGAGTTGCAAATTACTTTCAATACTTTATAGTGCAAGCAATGTATTCCCTACCGTCATTTTTCAGTGTTTTCTTTCCATTTACAGACTCAAGTGGCTGTAATGAAAAAAACAAATTCAAACAATTTTACCTCACTTCTTAAAGCAAGAAGTCACAAGACTAAACAACAAGTGTAGAAACTTAGACATACTTAGGCTAAAACTCTGATTCAAAAATAAAAAAATGACCCCCCTGCAAAAAAAAATTGTACCACTGTCTTTGATACCATCCTGTCACTCTCCTATTTTTTTTTTCACTTTTCTTTACTTCTAATTTGTAAACACATATAATGCTTCTTCTCAATGGGAAGTGTCTTCAAGAAAACTCAAATAACGAAACAGTATTGGCAAGAAAGATAGCCAAATGAACAGTAGTATCGAATTAGAGCTTAGAGCAATTAAACAACATGAATGGCTGCTACACCCCATTCTTTTTTCCCAGGTCTACATGAACTAGATTTTGAGCACAGAATGCAATACCTCACCAAACATCCAGTCTGCTATGATGACTCACTTAAAAGTGTGCATGATTATCACCTCTTGCTGAGATAGCACACTTCACTTCAATGTTTTTATTACTACACATATGGGGGCTTTGGTAAGATTGTGGAAAGGAGGGACAACGTTTGAGCAGCTGGGAGGGACCAAAATGACAGTGTGACAGCCATTTATTCCCACTTGGATGGCAAAGTCTGGGGAACCTTCCCCTGGAAATTTAAAAGTTCAGATGTCCAAAAGGGTCCATTTTAGGCCACTATTTCCCAAGTTGGCTAAAAATTATAGCTGCTACGAGGGTGAGTATTGACACTGAATTAATGAATAGAGTACCTTTTATGTAACTAACTATATAAACATTATACATAGCAATGTTGTCTCTGTGATGATGTCTGTGTGGTCTTGTTTGATTTTTACTTTTGCCTTGCTCAAAAAATGAGATTGTGCTGAGGACGACATTAGATTTTGGGGTACAGTGCTGTGATTTCTAACACAGTATCTTTAATGCAATTACTGATGGCAAAGGAGTTAATCAGTACTTCAATGATAAATGTAGAGCATGGCAATTAATGAAACGATCAATGTCTAATCATGAACTAGCTCTTTGTCAGTGACAAGTTCACAAAATTAATATTGGTGAAGGTTACTTCATACAACAATTACTGTAAACCACCATACCAAAAAACATGGTGACTGGTACATTCAACCAGAACTCTTTGTGCAAGAAAATACTGGAACCAATCATAAAAACAAGCAGTAAAGGTCTGAAAAATTTAAACCTTGCATACATAATGTTGTTGTTTTGTGAAATATTGCTTTCTACGAGTGCCTTAGCCTAAGAGTAATAGTAAAATGCACAGGTGCCATATTTGTCTGTGAGTGGATTGAATCTATTGGGTGAACACCAGAAAAAATAGTAATATTGATACAAATAGGCTGAGGGTTTAGTATAGGTATGCTGTGGTTTAGTTTTATCCTTAGTTTAATTCTTTTACTTTTAATAGAGGCCAAATTGATAGTGACACATCATCTCATCATAACTTAGGCTAGGAGCTAAATTTTATCTTTCTTTACACAAAATGCATTTTTCATTCATATCATTAACAAAACCAAAGGAAAATGATGTTTATACCAAGGACAAAAATTAAGCACAACATATACCTTTTTATAACTAGTGCATAATTCGCCAAGAAAATGTTTAGAATAGAGCTTACCACCTCATCAGCACTTTTGTTTTCTTTGCTTTGCTGCTGGTTCTCATCCATGCCTGTATGAATGATATTTAGTAAGGGTGAAAGGATTGGTATTTTCTTAGCAAAGATAGTTGCAGAGAGTTTCTCCACTAATATACAGATTGCCAAATGCTCACAATGAATGCCAACAAGACCAAGTTCTTGCTAACACATGTAGGAGCAATAATTGCTAATAGTAGGCAATAGTCTGTATTGAATTAAGTATTCATTTCTGCATGAATTAGTGTTTATTTCATTTTAATGTTTGTGACACATAGCTGAAAAAGTATGGATAATGTGGTAACATATAACATACATATTGTTATCATATTCCTTATAATTTGGTACAGGGGACTTTACTCTAAATTGATCAAAATAAAGAAAGTGGCATATGTCAGCCACTGATTTAAATAGCAAAGCACTAATTATTAAGTGAAGAGTAATTTTGCTGCAATTCTGTCACTTCTGGGTGAGCAAAGAGAATGATTTAATATATTGTAACCCAACTGTTACTTGTTGGAGAGCATTGGGAGACAGCACCCTATCCTTTATGAAAGAGACCAGATCTTCATCATACGAGTTAGCAGTTGGTGAGTTAACCTCCCAGGATATGTGATATTTGACATCAACCATACCAGAGGTTGAATTTTTGCGTAGTCCCATACATTTACAATGAATACATGTCTTCCACTGTATCCATAATAGCCATCATTGTAGGCACAATGAGATGGAGAAAATCACACATTTTTGGGCATTGAAACACCGAGATCTGCCCTGTTTTTCAATTATGTAACATCTAGTTTTACATGTCGCACGCAAACTAAAAAAATCAGCCCTCGACACTGAAGGATTCAATGAATCAAAGTTAGTAGTCACTCGCACGCTTCGCCATGCTGTCACATGAAATCTACAGTATTAAGCCCAAAACTTGAACGTGATCTTTGAAGAATGGTTGTAATATTTGAATTTAACAAAATACTAGCATAAAATGCAACCGAAACCTTACCTTCCTTTAGTAGTTCCGACAAAAAAGCACAACTTCGATCACCAGCGCACTCCAAACCAATAAGGGAAGCTACGAGGCAATGTCAAATTCTCGTCTTCCTAACCTTTCCAACGTATCGAAGAAAATTTCACTGATACTTCGCGCTTAAAAACGCAACAAGAATATTAATCTTTCAACAATCCGAAGTGTCCCAAAAGGCATCAAGGATAAGCCCATGAAACAAGAATAGCCCATGAAATTCCCAAACTTCGAGCGCGGAAAACTTAACGATAGTCTCACAATTTTGCATTGCATCCCTCCCCTAGTTGGGAAGTGACACGCAGAAGACACGTTCACAACGCACTTTGATTGGAAGAAATAAAACCGCATTCTATTGGTTATTAGGTGTGAGGACATAACTACAACGGAAGACACAACTGCAACGCTACACCTTGCCACGTCGCAATAAATGTGGTGGGTTAGTGGTTTCTTAATATTTAATAACCATGATCCAGAACTTTGCCCAAGAGAACGCGGAGTCAATAACCCTGACCCAATCTACTGGTTCTATCGTTGTATTAATCGTGCTCTTTTTGGCTAAAATTTTGCTAAAAGTAGCATTCACATGGAGTGATCGAAAACACGAGGAGGATTGCAAACGAAGAGATTGGCAGTACCAGGAGAGTGAAAAAGGGCGAGATCAACAAAACCAAGAGAGTGAAAAAGTGCAGAATCGGCACTACGATGAAAAAGATTGGCAACGCAAAGACAAACGCGAATGGCGCACACGCGCAAACGAAATTTTCACCAATTTCCTAGTAAATGAAGACATCATACAGAAATTGAGAAAGGTAAAGAACACCTTTAAATGTAAACTAATCCACTCTAAAGTAACTTGCCTCGATGTTTTACGATACATGCTCACCGATGATAACTACGACGATTTTGAGAGCGAGTCACCTCCGTTGAAGGCCCTTCGTGCAGACGTCCTCAAGATTTCCGAGCTACTTGAATTCTGGTGTGCCTTACTTCCCACTGGAGAAGCGCCAGAAACTATAAAAATTCTATTAAAAAGGAAGGTGAAAGAGTTGTGGGAGGTAGTAGAGCCTTTCCTTACAGGTGAACCACGAAGTATTGCTTTGGAATCTCTCCAACGTTTTGACAGAAAAATATCATCAAATGCAGAGACTATGCGTGCCACAGGCATAGAGAGCGAGGTTGATGTGAAATCCATTATTCCGTATGTTGACAGCTTACAGTTTGGTGGTTCTGATGCTAAGATGTTCCTAATATATTTGCCTGGGGTGGACAAAGCCTTGGAAGATTGCAATTACAGTGAGGGTCAAAATTTTTGCCTTCATTTGAAAGCAACAACCAGCGAGGAGAATTTCCAGTTTCTCACAAGTCTAAACGGTGTTCTACAACGTGGGACACAATTTGCCAGAATCATCAGGGAACATCTGGCAAAACATCCACTTACATTGCTTGATCAGATCAGCCACAGTGATAATGATGAAGTGATTTTAATGAAAATTGTACATGTAGTGCGTCTTTACATCCATTTTCTTTTAAACAAACACCCACGCGCTTCATTCAGTGAAGAAAACATGGAGAGCCTGTTTAAGCTTCATGAGGAAATAATGAGTGTCCTACCGATAGAGGAACAAATTAAAGACATGTGTTGCAGTCTCAGTAGAAAATTCCAGTCCTCTGCAATGTACCTACCAGAACATCTAAGAGATGAGTCTGTTCTCCCAATGTTGAGGAAATTAGACCAAAGACTGTTTAAGGAATAACCTCTGACAAAAAATGGTGATACTGAAACAGTTGAAGCCCTTCCATAAAGTTTGTGCCTTATCCTTGTTGTTTTTGTATGATAATGACACAGTAATACTTAGATAAATTCAGGCCTTGCTTAATTATAGTAAGCCCAAGCAATTCAGTTATGAATATATCTGAGTTTGAATTAGCAACAGTTCCTTGTAATTAGTGTAATTAAGTATGAGAAAGACTCCAGCACGCTTTCAAAGGTTAATTCAATTTTTGTGAATGTAAACCTCATTTTCCCTGGCTGGAGAAGGGTCCCCTTTTGTGTTTGTTCATGACATATTTTGTACTCAGTGTAAGTGTTCTCACCACAAGGTCTTGTGTGCATGTATCGTGTGTAGTATGAGATTAGGATAATCAAACCTACAGTTAAATAGGTAAATGTCATCTTAATTCTACAACACTAGGCCACACAAGCTGAAATGGATTAATTTTTTGCCAGAGAGTGTGTTTCCATCTCTATAGTGTTCCATTTATATTTATATAATAAGCTCGGTTATGCATGCATTCTGATTGGTTCTCACATATGATCTATTGGAGGACATGCCATGCGCCTGTTCAGTAATAGATCACAAAATAACATCATAATGTGGTAAGAACATCAGGGATACACTCGGCTGCACCTCGTATGCCACTTTTTTGTTCTTACCACATTTTGATGTCATCTGTGATCTATTACTGAACAAACGCACGGCAACTTGGAATCTGTTTGTTAAATTGTTTATGGCGGTTATGCCTCAATTAATCGTGCTTAATTAACCTATTTTTCTCACGAGGGACACCTTCAAAGGTTTACTGTATCCTTTAAAATGGTACAGCAAATGTCACCAGCAGTTCCTGACCCCTAATGAGACATGTACAGAAACTTCAAGAAAATAGAATATACTCAATCTAACTGGCAAGGCTGATGTAATGTTTGGCAAACGAGTGCTCAGTGACCGTCAGTATTTCCTCAGTATTTCTTTAAAAAAAAACAAAGCAATTGAACTAACTAACCAAATATTAAGAATATTGTGGTAAATTTTTTGGCTGAACTAATTGTAACATTCAATTAAATAAAAGACTACTACGAAGAACCAATGAGAAGTCAGAGTATTTGTAATAGGACCAAGTGGAGTTCAATTTGGTCTGTGATTAAAGAAGTGATGAACAAAATCAGATGACTATGAGGTTGGAGTCTAATTTGTCAATTATGAGTATGATTACAGAAAGAATTGGACAACATGAAGTCCTGTTACCAATTGATCATAACTTATTGTTACCTTACAGTTTTAGAAAGTAGTCTTTTTGTCGCTATGGTTTGCATTATGTTTATTTTTGTTAATGGTTTTAACTTTTTCTTACCTATGGTCCTACCCAAACTGAACATTGAAATAAGGAATTGGTCACAAGATATGTGAGTTTAAAAGGGTGGGAATCTGGAAAAACAAAGATCCTCCTTTAATTAGGACTGAAATTAATGGTAATGTAATGTTCAAGGCACAAAGATGAAGAGAACATTTTTTTGTATTTTGATGCATAAAAGTTAAATTACCAGTAATTGGCATCCACATAATCACAAAGCAAGAATGTATTAATTAGTTAAATAGATAACGCTCATTAAGGAACTCTGTTAGCACATGGAGATAGGAATGAGGAAGAAACTATTATCTCGTGCTGATTCCTCTGTAGTTGATGCTTAAAAAGTTGTAAATAAAGTGGCACTAGAAACAGGTTTCTCTTGTGTTCTTACTATTTGCAAAAGTGGAGAGGAGGGGGGGAGGGCTTATTTGCCTATTCGAGAGGGGCGCTTGTTTGACATTATGGGTAATTATTTAGGGGGGTTGGTGCTTTTGATAGCGTGGGAGCTTATCTGCTAAGCTTTCAGTAGAGCAAGTCACAACTCACAGTCGTTGATTTTTCAAGAAAAATTGACAATCAAATCCAGCTCTTGGGTAGGGCATTTAAACACAATTTAACGCCCTGGGAGGGGTGTTTAAACAAGCCAGTCTTAAAAAGTTCACATGCCCATGGGTTGCCTAGGGGGGATGTTGAATCTTTGAATTGACCTATGCATAAAATTTTGACAGTTGGTGCGTGACATAGTCATGAACATGCATGTGGACCTCAGGCCATCAATTGACAACAAGATTTTCTCAGCTTAAGGAGTTACCATCAGAGGAAGTGTGCAGAAAAAGCCACTTGCAACTTCAAGAAGATCAGCCAATAAAAAAGTGAATGTTTACGCATTTCAGACTATCATCTCATCCATGATCAGTTTCCTCAGTATCAACTGTTTTTATCTCTTGTTCCAGATGGAATACAATGATTGTTACCTCAAAGTTATTCAGTGCGCTTTGCGGGATTGCCACCTTTTTGTAATACTTTTTGAGTCTTGCCCCGATCATCTCCAGTTTTGGCATATTTTTTTTTCTCTGTTACAGTGGGAATTTTCTGAATTGCCTTTTTGGGCTTGAAGTGGTAACTAGAAGGAAAACCTTGGTAGAACCTATTCAGTATCACATGGCCCCAAATCCCTCACCACTAGTCCATCAACCTCAAACCAAAACAAATACATGGGCTTTGTCTCATGAGTTTAAACTGGTGCCATTTTCTTCATGTTCATGTGTTATTCAAAATGAATGGCATCAGCCTCATTCAGTCTTGTTTATTTCAGTAAAACACTTCTGCCATGCAAAATGAATTTTGAGTGGAAGTACATTATGACGCTTTCAGATTAAAATAATCCAACTTTCTTTGATTCTTAAAACATGAGATGAATGGTACAATGAATGGATAATAACTAAGGGGGCTGGAACTCCTTGTTTCTTTGGAATGTTGAATACAGTATTTCTGTTACATTTAAAAATGAATTTCAAGTCAAAAGTATATTCAACCCAGTATTACTTGTATTTCACTTTCTAGAAATGTCTTGATCATTCAATTGTTATTTCTTAATTGCAATTGATAATAGGAATTGACTTTTATGTTCTCTGCTGTTTAAGGAGATGTGAAGTGACCCCTGTACATGTAGTTGGTACTATTGACAGAATGGATAGGTGTGACATTTACTGTGGCAAGCTGGTGTTCCAGAGATTGTCATTAGTACCAGAAGCTTACTACTGGTTTAAATCATCAGTCTTTGTTCTCTCTATGTTCATATAGCTTATGCAATATGAAAATTTTGTCTATTCTTTGTGACATTATGCTATTATGCTATATGCAAATTGTGTCTATACTTTATTTGTAACTGTAAAATTACCAATTAAGTTTTTGAAATTTTTGTCCAATTTCACTGGATAAGAATATGAGGAATGATTAGGTGAAATATTGTTATGTTCCCTAAGAGTGTCTGAGCTTCCAGGATGAGAGCTATAAAATATTTTAATTGACTGATGTAGGATTTGTCTGCCATAAAATTGGCACAGCCAAACCCTTAGCTAAAAACTATAAATTACCTCAAATAGGCAGCCAAGTA